AGTCCGTTAAGCTGAACACTGAACGCATCTGTGTGAAACTATTCAACTGTGATCTTTACTATTTTCGGGTCATGTTAGGTCATAACAAAATTAATTTAGACCGTAAAGCTTTCAAGTTGAGCCACTACCCTTTTCAACTTAGTCCATTCCTCACGTTGGCCGATGTGTAGTATGGATTAACTTGAAGATGGTAACTGCTCAACTTGAAATCTTTACTGCCCAAATTAATTCCGCTATGGCCTAACATGACCAGCAAATGGTATAGACATACGATACTTTTCGAACTTAAATTTCTCAGCGCAAGCTGAGTATCAATCGGCACGCACCAAACGATCTATGGTTAACATACGCCATAGAATCCATGCAATCTTTGCCAGAATCGTGCCTTTCAAAATACTCACACTTCCTGTCCTTGAATACTGCAGCGTCATTTATAGGAACATGCGTATGGGTCACAGGAAAATTCCCATTTATTAGAATGAATCAAGGGAGGCAGAATCTGAGCAAAGAATTCTTTTCGGTAATTCACATCAGACTCAAACATTATATGATGATGAGAAAGTGCTAAATATGCCGGATTGGACTGCGTATCGAACAAAATGTTTAATTTCAACAGGAAGAAATCAATAAATCACGGGGTCATTGAAAGTGGCAAGTACGTACAGGGGAAATCACAGCCGAAGTTGCAGGCCACGGTAGAAGTAAAGGACGCGCAAACTGTTTTTGTACGCACAATTCTGGCTTGAGGTGGCGGATGTAGATAGCTTCCGCAATAGACAGAAGACGCTTCCGGAATCCGCGCGTGAAACGTTCAGGAACAGTATAGATGACTAAAATCATTTTCCGTCCCTGCTTGACTGCACTCTAGAAGTCGAGATGTATATACGTTATGTAGACGACACATTTGTACTCTGCAAATCGAAAGCACAGTCTGTGAAACTGTTGGAAGATTTTATTGATGCGCATCAGAATCTACAATTCACATGTGAGCACGAATCCAGAAACCGACTACCGTTCCTGGACGTAGATATCATCAGAAACGTCGATGGATTGTGCAGCAGAGCGGTGTATAGAAAACCAACTTGGACTGGACAGTACATCAACTTCTATAGTGCGGTACCCATACAGTACAAACGTAATCTAGTCCGCACTCTTGCGTTCCGGGCACATAGAATTTGCACACCGGAACAATCACCAAAAATTGCAGAGGATCGGCGACGCTCTCAGAGTGAATGGGTATCGAGATAAGTTCATCCTCAAACATTTGGAAGAACGCAAGATAAAACCATCGAGGATCGACGTACCCAAGAAAGAACTAATTGTGCATATTCCTTTCAAAGGCGGCTGATACTCTGTCCAAACGCATGAAAGACGCTGTTGTAAAGACCTATTTCGTGGCTCGGCTACGCCTAGTATTTTACAACAAGCCTTTATTCGCAAGACCATTGGAAGACAGGCTGCATCCGGTGATGCAGCTTGTTTGCTTGCTTGCTTGCTTGTTTATGCTTGTTTATGCTTGTTTATCAATGCTTGTTTATCTTTACTCGTGCTCCTGTGGTGCACGATACGTGGGTCGTACCACGAGGAGTCTATCTCATAGGATCCGCGAACACATCCCAAAGTGGTTTTACAAAGGCGAAGCGAGGTCCAGTCACAGTTCCATCTTGTCTCACCTTCTAGATTGCAGTCAAGCAGGGACGGAAAATGATTTTAGAGTCATCTATGCTGTTCCTGAACGTTTCACGCGCGGATTCCGGAAGCGTCTTCTGTCTATTGCGGAAGCTATCTACATCCGCCACCTCAAGCCAGAATTGTGCGTACAAAAACAGTTTGCGCGTCCTTTACTTCTACCCTGACCCGCAACTTCGGCTGTGATTTCCCCTGTACGTACTTACCACTTTCAATGACCCCGTGATTTATTGATTTCTTCCTGTTAAAATTAAACATTTTGTTCAATACGCAGCCCAATCCGGCATATTTAGCACTTTCTCATCATCATATAATGTTTGAGTCTGATGAGAATTACCGAAAAGAATTCTTTGCTCAGATTCTGCCACCCTTGATTCATTCTAATAAATGGGAATTTTTGGATTGCTGAGGATCAGCATTCCCCGTAATTCAGTCACAGGAAAACTCTAGAAAACCTGCAAAGATCATTCATTAAACGCTCGTTCAGTAAATTGTCTACCTTGAGCTATCAGAAGCTTACCAGCAGCTTAGCCTCGGGTCCCTTTCGTCGCGACGACTAAAGCATAACTTAATGCTGATACACAATATCATAAACTAAAAGATACTCCAATCTAAGCAAACTAAAATTGCAACCTAACCACTCGGAATCTACGCAACTAGACCTGTAAACTAACTCTGCTAATAACCAGGACATCTCTCCGATCCAAATTCTCCCTCCTTAGGTACACTTTCGTGTGGAGTAGCATGACCGGCCACATTTAGGTCGCACAATTGCAAGAACATCCTGCATTCAGCTTTGCAATTTCCTGGACCAGAACTCGATAATGACCATGTTTCCGTCGGGTAAATCACCACACAAGTTCTTCCATGATGGGCCAAGAAATGTATAACTAGTGAGAAAACATGGTATACAAAACTCAGCAACTACGAAAGTTATGTGATTCCAAAATATTTTGATGTCATGCACCTCAGAATACATATCTCACTCATGCATGAGCATGATCACTATTGTACTGATCGTCTGTTCACAATCCATGAATAGCTTCTCGCACAGTCGAGGATTATACGTGTTCTTATAAGTATCACTCATTTCAGACAAATGCAGTTATAAAGCAGTGGGATCATTGCATCCTGTGCCACGGCGGAACTCAACACAGTTTTGACCGACTGTTGTTGCACCGTGACTCGCTGCAGCACGATGTGCGACATTGGTTTGAATGCGGTTGGCGTCAGACTGATGCCGCAATTGTTCCAGCCAGATGCCCTATCGCTTTTACAGAATTGACATTGAAGATTACAGATTGTCAGAGGTCATCTATTCCTCAGCCGGTGGTCTACACGCCTGGCTTGTAGTTAAGGTCACCTGATCGAATCCACCTAGAGGCGGGCGTCCTCGCTGTATACTTAGCCCACGCGCGACTGGTGGTGGTCGCGCGGTATCGAAGCACCGTTACGACGTACAGCTGGCACATTCTTATTTTCATCAAATGGCCTCCAACAATGTAGCTGAGACCGTCGTTATTGGCTCTGCCATCTTCCAGCAATGCTGCTGCAATATTATCGAGGCCATGTGCTTCGTTCGGTTTCATTGGTGGTTACTGGTTTCGGCTGTCGTCGATGGTGGGTGAAGTTACCTTAACATCAAAGGCGGGTTCGGGTAATCCAACTACCAATTCTGATACGTCAGGCCGACTGAATTGCTATTCAGCTTATTTGGACCAGCGTTCTAATGGACCAGTTGCTTATCCTTCAGTTACCAGCGCATTCATGGCAACATTTCGTGACCCGGTGCTTCCAGTGAACTGGGACGGCACTGTTATTTCCAGCTTCACTGGACTCCTTCAACTCTCACGTCATCGCATTCATTAACGCTTCCGGTCAATTCTGAGAATCCTAGTTAGACCATATTACAGCACTACATTGAAACCGAAACCTGATCGAGCCCTTTCTTGTTTCAGCTAGGTTAATCGAATCGTGGAGCGTAGATATCCTCAAGTTCTTTTTTGGCTGACGCAGCGAAGCGACTCCAGAGTGCATTCGGTTCATCCACTTTGCTCCTCAATGACATCGTTGTTGTGATTAGCGTCACATCCTTACTTCGTAAGTTTTGCATCCATTTGGCCAGCAAGCACTTTTAAGGTTGAGCATTCATTCGAGGCGAGACAGGTGAGTGTTAGGTGGGGGCGCGCACGAGAGAGTCATGGGCCTGGAGGCAACTTCATTCACATCCACTATCTGTGGCTGATCGGTTTGAGTGTTAATTGGGTCCTTACTAAGCCACCGGCACTTTTACGTTTATTTCTGCTCTTTGTCACCGTTCATGACGATTTTATTACTTGCCTATTCCATTGTGCTTATAAGCACAAATATCACTTAGATAATGTGAGCTAAGGTAACTGAATGCATGATTCTTGGTGCACTGAGCTGGGGAGCTACCGGTTAACCTGCATTTGGGGTTCATCCAAATATGGGAACCGCATTACGTGTCCCGCGCATATTACGGCGTCCTGTTTTCTCGGTTTTATGATTAATAAGGTGAGCACTGGCAGTATTATCACTTTGCTCAACCGCACATGCCATGCCAGTTAACTAACCAGGGTTCATCTACCCACGCGCTACTCATATTCGTTAGGGGGTGTTTATTGCAATGTTCATAAGAGTAACTATCAGCCTTTATTGTTTTACGACAAGAAAGATTTAACTGCTGTATTCGTTACGCATAGGGCTATCGCGATGTTTACCTGGACGTTCAGGATATCACGAATGAGGCCATGGTTGTTGTTTCCATCGTTAAACCTCCACTTATCTGCTATGTGGGGAACGAGAGGTATTGACGCAGACGGCCTCTTCGTCTTACTCCTACAGAGCATCTTGAAGGTGTTTCCAAATCTCCCGGCCAATTTGTCTCTGTCAGTCACTCCGTCTTACTGACATTAAGTAATGGACTCAATCAGAGTGGTTAACCCTTACTCACCTTTTGGTTATCCATTTGCAGGCACTACGGCGCATTGACTGGGGTACTTGTCATGTCTAGCTAACATGTGGCGTGACGACTTGCTGACATCCCATGAATGATTGTCATGTGTCAGATGTAGTTTCGACTTCAAATAGAGTTCGCCAGAATTTCCCCTCACTTGTTATTCCGCTTTCTGATAGACGCTGCGCTAAAATCTACCGTTGGGCTCGCGGTGCTACCATGCGCTCTTGCGCCTGTTCTGGTGTGGAATGATACTGCCTCTGCGTGAGTCACATATTAGTATTATTACTTTTTGGATGCATACAACATCGTTTTCCTGCTTTTTCCTTAACAGGTCCCAGTTCCACTGTCTTTAACACTCCCCATCACGATTCAGATGACGAAACGGTTAGTGAGTCCCATTATTTTGCCTTCTTCCAGTACATCAAGCATACCTTCGCTCGTGCTCAAAAGACACGTGACAAAACGCGCATCCGCTTTATTTCTGCCCTACATATGGCGAGTTTCGCATCGACAGTTCACTTGCTGATACTACTCACGTCGATGGAATCGACTCGAATAAGAACCCCGCACCTTTTTAGCTACTCCCCCGAGTCCATCGCGACGAAACTAATCCTGAACGTGGTGCGATGATTTGCGTGTCTCAACCATCCATTGCACTATGCTAAATGGTGCTCTTTGCACCTTCAGAGACACATACCATATTAGTGCATAGTTAGAGGCCAGACTAACTCAGTCTCCAGGTTTTGGTTTGGAGTGGCAGAGGCTCCTTACTCCGTAAAACGAACTCTCCTAGCCCAGCGCCAAAACCCCCTGCCTTCTGGTTATGTTTTTACACCAAGCTTTGCTTCAGAACCTGAATCGTTTTCTTGTATAGGCTTGCGTAAATTGACAGTATCCCGTACAAGTAGTACAATACGATGCATTTCTCTTCACTCGATTTCCTGATACTCTGGACGTGGAAGAGGGTAACTAACGACACTTTATCTGCTGCATCGAGCAACGTGGATGGGGGTAAGCATCCCACTGCTCAGACCTTCCCGTCTTATCCCCCCGCTTTCGCTTTTTCATACTTATCCTCCCGCTCCAGCCATACCTTTATCCCCCGTGTTTTCAACCCCCAATTATTTGCCCTCCCATATATTGCTCCAAGTATAGACATTCTTCTAGTTTAAACTTACACGCTCCAGTCCAGTCGACAAGTCCACATTCAACCGAGCAGATGTCAGTCCATGCATTTCTATATGGAGCCCTCGATCCTTCCAAAGACTGGCATGCCTCAAGGTGCACACTTTACTGCAGCTCGGTCAAAGGCAGCACTTACCCGAACACTAACGATCCTATCGATCGATATATGCTATTTATCAGAAACTCGCCAGCAAAATTGGAGCTCTGTGTTCACGTTGAGGTCCTCCAACTACGACACTGACGGCACTTTCTCACTGCAATTTCCTGAAGACAACGCAGCTTTAATTATGAGTCAAGCCGGTGTCGGCCTTGCTCTGAGGCCCCGGGCTGAAGCTACCCTGGTTGACTAGATCTCAGTCAACAGCAGGATGAGCGCCGTCAGACTGGTTGACTCGTTCAAAGCTCCGAAGTTGCGTGCGGACAAATGGTGCCTGTTTATCGTTGCGGCTTGCGCCCCCACAAACTGTAGCACTAGCTCGGTGAAAGATGAACTCTATCATCACCTTCGTTGTGTAAAAAGTACGGATACTACCATGTTGCTAGAGACCTGAACGCCCAAGTTGGGAAATTGCCCACTGATGAGCTGCATTTGGGTGGCCAAGACGGTGTGGGCTCCAGGAATGTTAACGGTGAGCGGTTGCCACACCTGTGTGAAGATGCTCGTCTACTTCTCGTAAGCACTACTTTCAGACGCAGTACCCACAGAGGCGTGATACGGCACCAAACAGCTGTGAGTACCTACATACTTGCCAGCTGACGAAGCTACATGTTCTGAATGCGTATAATGCGTGTTGAATAAGAGTTCACTGAATGCAATTGCCGACAACTGGTCGCATATCCGCCAGACATTATTAGCAGCAAGCATGTTGTCATGAAGCAAATCAAGTTGCCAACTTGGACACTAGGTCCCTACATAGTCTCTGGAACTTCTGGATGTTTTGCCGACATTTCGGCATAAACCTCAGAGTGAAACTGTGTGCTAGCCTGAAGATCAAATGCAAATTCTGATAATCTCATTGTGCATCGGGAATGGAGATAGCAGCTGCCCTTAGTAATCATCGGAAGCTATTCTGTCTGATACCGGGAAAATGGGAGCAGCAGGAGACCTGGTGTTATGGAAACCATACGCGACGTGAATCAAATCCCCAACTTGTCTGAGCGCTTGGAATGTTGGATCGAACACTATGAAAAGCCTTTTATTCTACCAGAGTATCTAGGTTCCTTCTCGGTTATTGATCATCTTTCTCCTTGGCCAGGACGTTGGACCTGCACTCACTCGCCGAGGTCGATGTTGGGATCCGAAGTTGGGAACTGGACAAGGCCCCCAGAGCAGGTTGATGTATTCCAGCCCCTTTCGAATTTGGGGTTATGCTCATGTAGATGAATTGCACAACTTACTAGTGAAGCTGTAAGGGCAGATGGCCGTCCCAACATAGCGGAACTGCTCCGTTCTTGTCCCAAATTTTATGGCTAGCTACCGTTCGGAATGCGGTATTTACAGAGGCTCCAATCAGTTTATAGTTGGCTCTATTTTGTTTGCTTCTGCCATGCTTTTTAGACCGGCTGGCCGTAGAGAAAGCCAGATGCTGGAGGATGAGGGTGGATTTGGTCGAAATAGAGGCTGTATTGACAAAATCCTCAAATTGCGCTAATGGCTGCAACTCCGCGATTTTAATTATCGACCCACTGTTGTCATGTTCCTTTGTATTGAGCGTGCCTTGAATTCGGTGGATTGATCTGGCCTTTAGGACCGTCTACTCAAGCAAGATGTGCCCAATTTATTCTGTGAAATCTTACGTCAAACTGTCGCATCCTTTAATATTTCAGGCGTTGTGAGACAACGATTTCCACTGTCTCGTTGTCTTTTTATCTCGCCATGGACGAAGTCATGAAAACGGTCAGCATTTCGGCTTCCAACGCATTTTATACACCATTCTTTCCGTCTTTATCTTGGTGTTGATGATTCGGATGAGCTGCGCTATTTTCCGCTACTGTATTTTCTTCGGCGCTCTTTTACTTCTTTGCTTTTAGTTCTGTCCATCGTTTTGTAGGTGTCAGTGAAATTCAGTTCTGAAGTCGACTTTATCGTACCACAGTCACCGGATTCGTCAGCTTTCATCTTTTATTTTTAAATATTTGCATATTTCATCCCAGAATTCTCATCGTGTTGCTTGTGAAACACTCCGCCGGACCTAAAAACATCGAGCATCTGTCACAACTCTGCGCGAAGAACAGGCTGTTTTTTAGTAGCACCGCTTTTATATACGGTAGACTCTGAAGTTTCATTTGGCGTCCACGTATATTTGGCCAGTCTTGGCGTAGTTCCACCCTGGATTGTCGCCGGTTGTGGTTTACCCGCGTCAACTCTGATCATGTTTTGGTGCGCTGTTGTTTTTCCGGGAAGATGTACCAAGCGCCTCCCTCGGTTAGCAACTGAAAAGCTGTCCCCTTCCTCGGTCAGCGAGACCTACTGCGGTGGTCTGCCTAACGAACGTTCATGATCTCACCTTGCGGACAGCTAACATCTCGGCTGCCATGCACGAGACGGGATCCTCTGCTTACGGCAGTATCAGTCGTCACCGCACCAGTCACTGGATATCTGAGTTAGCTCGACGAACCTGTTGGAATCCAGAAGAATACTCCCTGAAAAGCTATTAAGCATCAAATAAAACGGAGCCTGCGTGCCGACAAGGAAGCCTAATGGGTCAATAACCCTTAAGAAATGGACTAGGCGGGTACTGAGCAATTGCTGATCCGCGCCACTGGTTCCACGGACAAATACATCAGTGGGACAAACAGAGAGAGCAGCTAGCACTGTTTGGCTTGTTGTGCGGAGCGCCTTCGGGAGCTGTTCTGACTGAGTTCTGGTAGCTTAGTTTTAGAGGCTTCGTCTTTGGTTAAAGTTCGAAACGCGATCCTAACCTGCAATCGTTCTCGAGCTGCTGGTCCGGATTTGCTTGCATCCTCCTTATTTTGAGCGTCGAAAAACTCCTGTGCAAAGCACTGATATATCTCCTTGAACAGGATAGGAAGGAAGAAACCATCCCATCTAACTGGAGTGAATCGATCATACTGTCAATATACAGGGTGGCGCACGAAATGCCATACCATTTGTTTTGTTCATTAAACATGTATTTATCATTAAAACTACAAAATTAGTACATAATTAATCGTATAAGCAAGGAAATTTGGTTCGATGTTGTATGTGCTCAATGTGACTACCAGTTTGTTTCACAACCTCTTGCAAGCGAACCTTTACATTTGTCACAAGCAGCACAAGATAGCTGACATTTGGCGAAGCGCGAGCATCACACCAGTGCTAAAGAAAGGAATCTGCAAATATCGGCCGATCGCATGCACATCGATTGCCCTCAAGACATTGGAGAGGCTTATTGATGCGCCCTCAGCCAGTGTTCCGTGTCGCCTCTACTGACTGCGAATGTACGCGCATGTGTGTGTGTGTGTGTCCATCAATACGTGGTGTGCTTCGTCCTTCCTCTCATTGCGCTCATTTGCCAACTTCCTCCCTTTCTGATCGAACACTGGACTCAACACTCACGTTACTTGCTTGCATGCTGCTTGCTTCTATACGTTTCCTGTATGCACCGTTGCTTACGATATACTTCCATTGCTCCGTTATTGTTCTGATTCATCTAGGTGTAACAAATTGGCGACGGAGGTTACTTGGATCACTTATGGCAAATTCAATTACTTCACCTCAGCCGTTTTGGAATTCTTCCGCGGAAAGGCCTACGACGCAGCATTGGACACAGCAGTGGAAGACTACTTTCACTAAATACATGGATTTACTTGTGCTTTTTGGCAATAACAATGCGATTGACGAGGCATCAACAATTAAATTACTGCGTCACCACATCGGGAACGAAGGGCAACGACATTTTGATAGTTTGCATCTACACACGAAATATGACTTACAAACTGTGCTGTACTCTCCTAACCGACTGTGGGGAGAAAATTCACATGTGTTTTACAGCCCGGTACAAATGTAACACCATGAGGTAACAACCGAGTGAAGCTGTAAATGAATTTATTTCTCGACTCCTTACTGCCCTTCGTCTATGACCAGATCAGGCCAACTTACTTCGAGGAAGCAATGCTTGTAAAAGCATTGGTCTTTGCTGTACTTGACGACAAAGCACGCGAGCGTCTTTCGTCAGAAAACGTAAAGGTCGTTACTT